TCATCAATGCCCCAAATCAAATCGTGGAAATGGGACAAATGTCTAAAACACAGAAAAATAAATAGCCAGTTATGTTCAAGAACTGCCGAAGAGATTTCGTTTGACTGATGGTCACAGAAAGACTCAAAAGGTGCATCAGTGTTGCATGCATAAATTTAACCAAACTTTTCCCCGGAAGTGAAAATGATTGTGAAGGGGTGACCGTCTCTGGCAGACCATCTCATTACAACTTACTGAGCTGAAGCTGAAGTGATATGTTTTAGATACAATTGTAGATCTTCGTGGTTAAGATCAGGTTTCGAAAGAAGGAATCTTTTAGTACGTCTATTTTTGATAGGAAAACCGTTATCTTTCTCCGTATTACCAAACCCAAAATGATAAAAGGTCTAAAATGAAAAGGAAGCTTAGAATTACCTTTGTTCAAGAAAGGAGAGTCCGTTGCCGTCTTACTTGTCTCTTGGTTTTTCTCCAATGAGAAGATTCTGTCCCTCTGAACTCTCAATTCCAGTTCCAACCTTACAAAGCCAGCAGTGAAGAAAAGTACACTGATAAACGTTACACAGCAACAACCCACAAGAAGGCGGGAAGGTCCGCTCACTGAACTCGTCATTGCGTCCAAAGCAAAGTCATCTAACAAATGAAGATATCTGTCTCCAGAACTGAATTAATGCACTCCAAGACGAAGCTTCAGCTAAACGGGAACTCATTACTAGGTAATCCCGTTTAGACAGATGTCGTGTTTTTCACGACTTACTGAGACCAATTTGTTCAGCTATACCGGATGAATATAACTTAATAATATCCTGGTATGAAATGTCACCCCTCCCCCTCCCTCCATTTCTCTCTTTCACTCTCTCTCTCTCTCTCTCTCTCTCTCTCTCTCTCTCTCTCTTGGTTATGGGTCAAATTGTTTGAAATTAGCGAATTTAGAAGACTACGATCTAGGACAATCTTGGAACAGTAATTTGATTCCCCCCTCTCCCTTGTTACAAAAATTAAAATCATTCATTACAAGCTTATGATATTGCAAGTCTCTAGCAACACTAGCTGTCACGGGGCGAGGTGATCTCGTCTTGATTGTGGTTTACAAACTTGTAAGAAACTAATAACATTTACTTCACAAATTATTTACGTTTCCCAGTACGCTCTGCTCTCTTTTAAAGGACACCGCTATAAGACGGACACCTCGCTAAAACGGACACCTAGAGTTGGCCCCTGCCTTTCCAAGTTTACTCCTTTTACTTGACTCTCAATAAGACGGACATCTCTTTAAGACGGACACATTTTGAGGGTCCCAGAGGTGTCAGTCTTAGAGAATGTTGACTGTAGGAAGACACAGGAATTTGGTTCCAAATGGTTTTGATACAGCTTCAGCTTCACGGAAAGTTCATTCCATGTTTTTGTTTTAAGCTACAACGGGATGTAATCATTTCGTCATAGGTCAATGATTGGCAGGACCTGATTGATGTCAGGACCAGTCAACTAGATAACGTAGGGTAAGGGGCTCTTAATACAAGCCCGGTCAATGGCTTGATTTGAAAGATTTTGCCTCTCTCTGCATATATTTTTAATTGTCTTTTTTCATATGAACCTATTACCCCACCAGTTCGGTTGACCGGTACATAACGGCGTCGAATTATTACACATGTCCCAAAACTAATGGTAATGTCTAGGACACTTGACATGACAGACTGATTTTGCTCTTTAACATTACATCTTTATTCGCCACATGTTAAGTTCGACGCCTGAAACTGTTCTAATAAATCCTGGGAGACTCTCGAGTTACAGGAAGAAAAAAATGATAATCTTATAATTCGCAAACTTGAAAACTATCGAAGCATAATATATAGTGTTTCAAATAAGGAATCTTAACAGCTGTCTTAACAATTGTTAGGGCACCAAGTAAGCGATACACGACAGGGAACTTATAATTAAAAAGGTTCAGTGCTTGCAAGGAAGCCTGTAATTTGAAGACAATCGTCATATAAGATGGGCAGAAATCCCTGCGTCAGAAAATGGTGCCGGAGTGGTGAGCCGAACTTTAAGGTAAGTGAAAAAGAGCTGTGAAACCGAAACATTATTTAATAATATTCATTGATAATATCGGGTAAAATGTTATCTTAATGCCAACATTGAGCCACTTTCAGAACGTAACAAGAACAGGAAGATAATCATGTGTCCTCTCGAGCTGGAAGGTGGTGAACTCCCGAAGGGATTGGTTTTATTCTATCTACTATCTGTTATAAAAAGAAAGCATTTTTCACCGTTTGAGGTCAAGCAAAGCAACTTCTCGAACCGTGATTTCCTACAGCGGGGTAATGTGAGAGAATTCTAAGTACATGGCTGAATGGTTGAAAACGACTACATCGACCTACACATTAACAGAAATGATGTTATCTTTGTTTTATGCTGTTTGTTGATGGTCATTCAATTATTGACTAACTAAACTCCACAGACTCCATTACCCGGCATTGCAATCTACAAATTATGGAAAGCAGAATGAAATGTTTCTTGGCGAGAATTCGTTCTTACAATTACGCAGTCCAGAGCTATACGCAGTTCTTTGTAATTTCTGATAAAACCGTGCTAAAATGGAATATTCGCAGGGGGGCACCTAACGTCAATTTTCGGAAATTAGGGACTTTAAGATATAACGACGAGGACGGCAACCAGAACGTCAAAAAACAATTATAATAGGTTTTGTAAGCAAAACAACAACTTTGCACGTGCATCACTCTTTTTTGTACATTTCTTTGCCCGTTTTTGCACGACTACGACGTGAAAATGCCTAATTTCGCGTTTGATGGAGGCCGACATAAACAAGCAACGACGAAATTTTATTTCTCTTTTTGAACTTGGATATGGTCCCTAGGAATTCAATTCCAGGAGAGTTCGCCTACAGTTGACAAAGTAAGTGGGTAGGAATAACTGCGATAAAGACTGAAAGAACGCAAATTCACTTTTTAAGCGACGTTCTCGTTGCCGTCGCGTCGTTGGATCTTAAAGTCCCTGGTATCTGTTCGGAAGACGACTTGAGATCTAGAATTTTCGGAACAAATGTTGTAAAATTTCTTGCTTGCTTTTATCTCCTCGGATTTTCGAACATCTAAAAAGTGGTATAAATGTCCATTTTTAACGGATTTTTACCCTAAAAAGGTCGCCTAGAATTTTCGGGAGCCTGTTCTCTTGACATTATTCATAGAATTACTGACTTAATTATTCGTCCGTCAAAGCGTTTGCGAGGGCTTGAATGTGCTCAATGGCTTTTTGTTGGTCTCCACTGTTTATGCTTTGCGTAACTTAAGATAGTAGAGAAATGGAAGAAGCGGCCGTGAACCGGTTCTAGACGGAACTACCTGAAAAAGCATGAAAACAACCAATACTATACACGTATTACACGTAATACATATGAGCATAAGAAGATGAGACAATGTGGCTAATTCTCACCCCTTGTCCTAAAAAGAAAAACTACTGATCATCACTTAAACTGTGTCTCCGTACATTGCTTGTATGTCATATATATTGGTGGGTAGGGCCTATAAACAACACGAAGTTTATAAGCTTCACATACTTTACATAACAATTATTCACTGAAGTGGAGGTGGCTAGTGGTGAAATTGACCGAGCCGTGAAGTATATAGCAAAACAGTGAGATAAAGATGATTTTTAACTTATTTATTGCTGCCAACGATTACAATTTTGGGGCGTAAATGACCTTGCGGCCGTCACGTTTCCTTACCGACAAATAAAACTTTTTATGGTTTTTTTAAGCTCTTACGGTGATATTTCTTCAAAAGGAGTCGCAATTTCTTTTTGTATTTAAAACTTTTCCGTAAAAAATCCAGCTAACAGTATTTATGATCATGTCAGCTAAATTAATAACCGCATGACTTAATTTTAATTTGTAAACAAAAAGCTTTTTCGCCGGTTTCATTGATAAATATTCAGGTTAAACAGACAAAGCTTTAATACCTGTACAAACTACGAAACTGAATTTCGTCGCCTTGTTCGTGTTGTCGGCAACAGGTTCTTCGTTTACTGAGAAATATTTTTGATTGTCACGGTAGCAAACCGGGAAGCTGTTTTCCTCATACCTTTCGCGAGTTTGGCGTCACTCGTTGGACTATCAAAAAATCATTGCGACGCAGTTAAGTGCAACTGATTGAAACTGCATGCTTCAGTATCGAACTGTCTGCATTAGTCCTTAGTTATTGGCTTTGTGCCGCCATACCGTATTTATTCGAATAAGCGCCCAACCTCGAATTAGCGCCCACCTCGAATAAGCGCCCAGCCTCGAATAAGCGCCCACCCCCTCCTCCTCCCAATCAAACTCAAATAAGCGCTCACCCCCAGCCCACCCACTTGAGTGAATAAATTTTAATAAGAGACTTTCCCGAGGACGGAGTTTTCTTCAGAGTATTTTACAGAAACCTTGCTTCGTTACTTCGCGTTTTGTTATTAGCATTTATTGTTTTGTTACAAAATAAACATACTTCACTTGCTGAAAATGGTGAAAATTTAATAAGCGCCCAGCCTCGAATAAGCACCCACCTCGAATAAGCGCCCACTCTCAAGGTCCAAAAATTTAATAAGCGCCCAGGGCGGTTAATCGAATAAATACGGTAACTAACTTTTCTGTCCCGTTCCTCAGATACCCTTGTCGAAGTCATAAATCTTTTGTCCAAAGAATTACCAAATGAGCTCTTTTTCAGGTGCCTCCACCGCTCCCTTGTCCATAATTCTTTTCTTAAATTGGAAAATAGTTTCCAGACTGTCACAACGTCGGCTTTGACTCTCGCTACCACCAGCAAACGCTCTTAGCATCAGACATAATTAATCGATAAGATCAATAAAACCGATGAGTAATTGATAGGCAGTCGATAGATGATCAGTTGATTAGTCATTGATTATTACCGAGTGGAACGATAGGGCTTGGCACTCCCCCAATAGGACTTCGTAATCGCGCAACGCGTTAGATCCCGCAAGAGCTTATCTTTGTTTTTGCTGTGTTTAAAAAAAAAAAACGGCCTATATTAAAGAAGTAACAAAAGTTAGTGTTGAATGGTCCATATCCTCTTCTAATCATGCATATCAGCCTCAACAATATAAATGTAAAAAAACATTCATAAAGTACGCCGTACCGCATGCTGGGAGAATGCGGCACTAATTCTTTTTTCAATGGCGGTGCTTATTAATATTTTTCTGTTTTTATGTAGTTCCGTACGTCCTGAAATTTGTAATAATTTTGCCTTTACAGAAGTATGCACCCACTTACACCTACCGATCTTAATTTCCTGTTCTGTTGAGTCCAATTTTGGCGGCGTTTCTTGGAAGATCGGGTGCTCAAAAGAGAGAAAAACAACTTGCGGGATCATCAAGTCATTTTCGTGGTCTTTGCTTTCATAGACCATAGCTCTCGACCTAAAAACTCGCCAGTAATCTCTCAATGATATTGTGATAATATGGTCGAACCAGCGAAAGCGAACTGTTATTCGATTATTTTGTGATTCAATATCAATAAGAATTTTTTAGTGCTCAGAAGTACCAAATCTCAATATCCACTGCAAATTTGTAATTACAGTATGTGGTAAATAACTGGGGCGTGATCAATACCTTGTAAAGAGTTGAAAATTTTGGCAGTGCGAGTTGCCTTTCGTTTTAAACAATAAATTACTTTGACTGAAATTGTCTTGTTTAACTGATTGACAACCACTTACATAGAATCCAGAGTTAATTCAGTCAAGTTGTGCCCTCGTGTTGTTCGTTTGCCACCTTGGTTGATGCTTCAAAGAGGAGTTGACGAACGAGGAACTTAAGATTCAACATGTCGAATTTGCAGCATTTGGCTGTATTCTTGTTTCTGATCTTTTTGCCAGTGGGTAGGAGTATTTTATTACTTGATTCTGCACCTGAGGCCTCGGTGCATTACATTTAGTTTCAATCCAGTTTCCTTTCTTTTCTGTCGTGGTGGAGCTCGTTGCATTGAACAACTAGAAATGAGGAATTTAACATACAACGATAGATGAATTACTTTAAAATCCTTTTACCAACTGAATCTTAATTGCTTATAACAGCATCACAAAATCGCTCTGACTCTGTTTACGTGCTAGTGCCATTAAATTTAGAGCTCGCTTGTCCTCATTAACAGCAGTACTGTAAGACCTTATATTTAAACTAGACTTTTGACTGCAATGAAATAATTAAACCTGGTCTACTAGATACCATAAGTAATACCCTTTCCTTTAGCTTCTGTCCAATTTACGGCCTTAGAAAGAAAGCTACTTGTTGATGTCGTTTGCACAGAGTAATTCCGGGTGTGCTCAAGGATTTCGCAGAAACAATTTTGAATACATTTGTTTGCTGTGTTAATTGGTTTCATTTATTTTGATAATGATATTTGATGTGATTAATGTTGGATTACCTTTTTCGATTTCACTGGGATACTGTAGATGTCTCTGCTGCTTTTCTAGTGTACGTATGTTCTGAAGACTACTCGCATTTATCTATGATTAAACTTGAGTCAGTTCTCCAGGAAGTAAATGTTGACGCACTCGCACATGACCAGTTTCTATTGAAATGTTCGACTCGGCATTCTTAAAGGGGTCAGTTTCTAAAGAAACTGTGGTGCTACATTCTTATGTTATTTATAGTGAGTTAAATTTAAATCTTTTTATTTCCGGTTTAAAACTGATTATCAGGCTTACTATAGTTATTTTCTCTCCACCCCCGAGAGCTAAGTTCTCGTTATTATGGTGAAGAAAATTGTCACTACTTTCTTTGCCTCCGGGTAGATTTTTTAATGAGACGAAGATGACTCGAAGCACACTTTACTTTCGGATACCAATAATTATAGCTGTATCTTTCATAATTTATAACTGAACTGCTACTGCTAGACTAATTGGGAGCCTGCTCTTCTTTCTCGTTACAGTGTTTTGCCGTGAATGTTACGAATGTCTTAGCACCGTCTTTCTTGTAAAGATTGTGAAGAAAACCGGAGGAGAGTAAATTGTAGGTCGACCTCAACGAAGGGTGTCAAGATAAGGGTTTAAACAACAACTGATCGTATGGTATACGATAAAGGATCGGCGTTAAGACATGTTTAAAACGAGATGGTCGAACACGCTATTTCCAGTCCATTTACTGCAAAGTATCTTCTCAAAATGCATGGGCTTTTTCGCCTCGCACGTATTCTAAAAGTAGGATGACTCTTACAGCGGTTGCTGGTGAGTGATTTTCTGAATGTACTTTCCAAACCATCACACTCGGCTTTCACTCTCGCTATCATTAGCAAACCCTTTTAGCATCAGACATAATTAATCGATAACATCAATGAAATCAATGAGTAACTGATAGGTAATCGGTAGATGATCAGTTTATTAGTCATTCAGACTATTGCCGAGTGGAACGATAGGGCTTGGCACTCCCTACCCTGCGAGCGGAGGCTACATTTTCGCGGTATGAGCTGGCGTGCGAAAAGTAGCTACTTTTCGCACGCCAGCTCAAACAGCGAAAATGTAGCCTCTGCTTGCAGGGTAGGCACTCCCCTACTGAATAGGATTTCAGGATCGCGCAACGCCTTAGATCCTCGAAAGCCTTATCTTTGTTTTTGCTTTGTTTAGAAACACAAACAGACTATATCAAAGATGTAACAAAGGTAAGTTTTAATAGTCCACGTCCCCTTCTAATCATCCATATCAGCATCAACAATGTAAAAAAAATTCAAAAAGAAATTGACGACTACATTAATGCTGGGAGAATGTGGCGCTTACTCTGTTGCGGTCCATGTTAACAAGTATTTTTCTCCAAAATGACGCCCGTGTATGAGTTAAGCGAACTCTGGAGTAAATACGGTATTTGTCTTTGTGCTCATGCACTTGCCTTTACAGATGAATGCACCCACCTACATCCACCGATATAAATTTCCATTTCTGTTGAGTCCAATTTTGGCGAACGGTTAATTCTTGCGGTGAAATCGCTCGCGGAAAAGAGAAAAACAACTTGCGGAATCATTAAGTCACTTTCCGTGGTTTATGCTCTTACAAACCATAGCTCTCGACCAATAAGCTCGTGCGACATCACTCATGCAGTGACATTTGTAACAATATGGTCGAACCAACGGACGTAAACTGCTATTCAATTATTTTATGATTCAATATTGATAAGAAATTGTCTCAATATCTACTTCAAATTTGTAATTAAAACATGTGGTAAAAGGAGGGGCGTGATCAATACCTTGTTTGGAGTCAAACTTCACGTTACAAATGTTAGCAGTAGGAGTTGGCCTGCGTTTTAACCAGGAACGTTCAAGATAACTTTGACTGAAATTGTCTTGTTTAATTGACAACTTAACTACTTAGATTATCAAGATTTACTTCAGTCATCATTTAACTTGTGCCCTCCTGTTGTACGTTTGCACCTTGGTTATTGCTTCAAAGAGGAGTTGACGAACGAGGAACTAGAGATCCAGCATGTCAAATTTGCAGCATTTGGCTTTATTCATGTTCCTGATCTTCTTGCCAGCGGGTAGGAGTCTATTTAATAAACTTGATTCTGTAGGCCTCGGTGCCTTATGCAGAGCAGTCTCAATCCGACATCAACTAACTACTCTTTTAATTAGCTTCTGTTAAAATATTCTTAAAAAGAAAGCTACTTTTTTGTGTTATTTTTCATAGAGTAATTCCCCAACCTCGTCCCCAGGGCTTTTCCCTTAAAATTTTCCCGCCCCACCCATTTTTTAAGGGAAAAGCCCTGGGGACGAGGTTGGTAATTCCCGATATGCACGAGGATTTCAGAGAAACATTTTTGCATACATTTTGTCCCACTTTTGAAAGAGGCGTGTTCTCGATTCGCTGTGTCAATTGATTTCATTTATTTTAATAACGATATTTCAACTGATGAATTCAAAGTAGACAGACTGCAAATTATCTTAGTTGCTAAAAAATATATATCTACGTGTCGCAACTGTTCATCAGTAGGATGCCTAGAATGCGTGCAATTCCACAATTGGTTTCGGCTCCATTAAATCCTATACCAATTGCAGAACATTTTAGGAGGAGCCACCCACCATGTGAGCACAGTCACGGACAATGTATAAGCGACGAAAATAACGCAAAGTAAAATTAAGACGTTAATAAACGAACTAAATGTACACGTCAATTAAATAAATAAACAAATAATGCGCGGTTGGATTATCTTTTTTTTCAATTTTAATGGGCAACTGAATGTTTTGGGCCCTGCTTATACAGCGTACGTATGTTCTGAAGACTACGTGCATTTATCAATTAAACTTGAGTTAATTTTCTAGGAAGTAAATGTTAACGCACTTGCATATGACCAGGCCAAGTTATACGACCTGCCTTGACATGGATAACTTTATCTCCTGGATAGTGGCTTGATAGGGCTATCAAAGCATCGAACAACCGAGATCGGTGACGCGAAAAGGATAAATTTTATCCACAAGATAGTGACTTTAAACAATCGTGTCAGTTTATTGAAATGCTCGACTCGGCAATTATCTCTTGTTTAAAGCTAAATATCCTATAGTTACTATCGGTATTTTCTGTCCGCAATTAGTTCTCGATATTATGATAAGTAAAGTTGTCGCTTTTTTTTAAAATTGAACGTTGTCTCTGGGCAGATTTCAAAAGGCTAGAGCTGATAAAGTTAAGACTCAAAGCTCATTTTCGGACAAAATTGATAAGTCTTTTTTACAGTTTATTGCTGAACTGCTTCTGCTAGCCTAATTGGGAACCTGCTCTTCTTTCTCGCTACAGTGATTACCCGTCAATGTTACCGATGTCGTAGCATTCACTCTTTTAAAGATTGTGACGCCAACCAAAAGAAAGAATATTGTAGGTCGACCTCAACGTGTTTCAAAATGAGGTTTTCTACAACAACCGGCGGTGAAGCATACCTCAAAGGATGCGCTCCGAGTCCCTGCAGGGGAACAGGAGACTGCAGCAAATCCAACATCAAGTGTGAACTGAGTTGCTGTTCTTCT